ACATTTCAAACATTGTAATTACAACTAACCAAACTTGAGCAAGTGCTGTTCTGTTTAGTTAAACAATATATATTTTTTGCCACTTCACTTAACTGTATTATTATGTTATATTCGTTCATTTATTAGATGAAAATGTTTATTGCAGACGTTATTGTTGATAAAAAATGTGGTCCAGTATTTGTATACTGTGATATTTTTTAGAATACAGTTTGATAATCGTCACAAACAATAACTACTGATTATTTATTAGATTAGAATTATAATTTCCGCACTTTTATGTTGATATCACTTTTTTAACAATTTTAAGTTTAAAATAACACGGAGCCGATCGGCTCTGGCGAATCTGATGCAAGTTTAGTGGCTGCGCCTGAATTTCGTTTGAATCGCGCCGTTATAAAAAAAGAAAATTTTATTTAAGTGTGTAGTTTTCAGTAGATTTTATATTAAAAAGTAAAGAATTATTTGAAAATATATTATCAACTGACGGAATATCACCAAATATCCTTACCAACTTACTTGACCGTATTTCGTAATTCAGTTCAAGTTTGTCGAATTACTTTTATTACCTATTGGAGCCGTGAAACAAGCGATAATTCGATACAAGCAATTTAAAGGCATCTATACAGCCGCTTGTGTTGAATCATTAAAAACGAGCGACTGTATCGATGCAAACGCGCTTTTGATGATGCATACGTACGTTTGAATCGATGCAGACAGGCGTGTGCATCACGACAAAATGGCGCAGCGTGTGTGTAAAGGTAGATTGCAACTGTATCACTACTGCATCGCGACTGAATTACTGCAGAAGCGCTGCTAAATGTTGCCGTGATGACGCTTTTAGGGTTGGGCTCCATTCATGAAGAGCCTATGCACAAGCCGTATTTTATACGCGCCGATGACGCGCGTTAACGCGGTTCAAACGCGATGCAGTCGCAGTGAGTGAACCTTTGCACACGTTCACAAATTTAGTGACACCGTAAACGCGCGTCATCTGCGCGTACACGCGCCGCAAACGCGCTGTAGATGCGCGTATGTAGCGCGCATTTTGATAAGAGATACCTTTAATTTTAGTTTCGTTTGTTAATTTCAGTAACTTTTTCAAATGAAGCAATAAAAAAAATGTAAAAGCATGCGCACTGCGTCTCTTTAAACATATACCAAAATAGATTTGAAAGAAATCATGTAGTAAGTAACTGTAAAATGATTACTATTCGGTTTTGGGAGTTTATTTTGCGTGTATCGCGCTAGACACAAAGTGTAAAAAGGATGGTTGTCTACAACATGAAATTGTGATTGTAAACTCCAGTGGAGTATATAAGTTTCTTGATTGCCACGCGTTGTTCGATACACACAAGCTTCGAACGCGCTTCTCGCGCGCGTCTGTTGCGCGTTTTACGCGCGTTTGTATTGATATAAACGCAACAATCTGCTTTTTAGCCTCATCGTAAACGCGCGTTCGTGAAACATGCAACGTCGGCGTGCTTAAAATACGCCATGTCCATAGGGTCTAAGATCCAGTGCTGATGCTGAAAATGAGAACTTACCTTTAGACTCCTAACGAGTAAATGTTTTTTAAACAGAAAAAGACAATTTTTAGTTGTAAATGCGCAGTTAGAAAAATATAAGACTGTCATTATTTCTTGAAATCGGTTGTCAAATTTCGAACAAAGACCATGTTATATTTTTCTTGGATAGTGATTAAGGGACACACAGTGACCATTGCGTCTTCCTATGTCCACCAGATCTTACTTATCAATATTGTTTTTTCCTCATATTGAAGATTGTGAATGCGACAATATCAGAGCAATAACAATAATATATTACAAAATCACTGAAATACGTTAAAGTTGATTGGTGTTAAAATGTTTACGCGTTTTGTATGGCGAACGGCTCGCGGTAGACAAGTGGACTAATGACTCTTATGAATCGTCAATGCGTCTAATGGTAGTTTTCCACTGGTGAGTCGTGACGAGACGAGGCGAGGTGAGAATAAAAATCTCGCCTGCCTGTTTCCACCTAAAATCTCGCGTGAGGTCGCGCGAGCTCGTGATGGCTATTAATATCAATCGCGAGATTGTGGAGCACAATCTCAATCGTGTTTCCATTGCAATTCGAGTCAAGTCAAATAACCATTTACGTCATAGGTAAAATTTTTACACTTGAAAACGTCACTTTTTAAGCTACTGTCCGTTCACTACGCTGACCTCCCTGAAAAGAACGAGCAAGAAACTTTAGGGATTGCTCTGTTCATATAAACTTAAATGCTATGGAATACACTTTGAATCATAATTGTATGGAATCTAGATTTGTTTACCTTAGTTAAACGAAATCGCGATACCATGAGTTTGAACTTAGTTCTAAGGTTAATATTATGGATATCTTCTTTCTTAATGAAATTATGTATATTTTTACGGGCATACAAAATATTTGAGTAAATATACTGTGATGCCACTGTCATGATACCAGTCTCCTTAAATGTAGCAGAGTATAGTACTCGATGTAACAATAGAATTCAATATTACATCAACAAATATTTCAATACTCACCTCACCCATTCTCGTCAATTCAGACCATTTCCACCAAAGATGCGCGAAGAGAGAATTGAAATTTATCAATACAAATTTCAATCCTTGTCCTGCCCTGTCTCGTCTCGCCTCGCCTGTGGAAAACCGCCTTAACAGTGACAATTACGGCAAAATTTTGTTTTTTATAGCGGAGTTTTTTCGCGTAGGCATCATGAATAGATTGACGTAGTAGTCATGTGCCCCAGAAAGAAAACTTTGCGTGATTTTCCTTAACAAAAATAAAATCTCAATTTCGCCGTGAGGGATATCCTATGTTGACGCTTTCAAGCGACTCACTCCACCGATTGGCAAATATTGTCGCACCGTGTGCGGTCCGACGATCATACAGCTGTATATGCGGTTGGTATTGATGTATACAGTGGACAACATAAGCTGTAGGAACTAAGTTTCGTCTTAAATTTAAGAGATATTTTCTATGCAGTGTCTACCGTTGTTCTCTTCTATACGTTTTACTTTGATTTACCTCGAAGTCCCAATGATTTCGTTAGAATACAGCTCGTGCTAACTATAGAAAAATCTACTGTAGTGCCCCGTTTAGTTCATAAAGGTGAAAAGAGACCCAAAATAGGCGTACGTCGTATTTAGATCACTCGGAAAATCTGTATATCGACATTAAAAATTACAAATTCAACTTGTTTTTTTTTGTGTTGATAATGATAACGGAAGGTACCGGTAGTGACAAGTAGGGGGCCTAAAACACGAAAGATTAATTTCGTTTGATAAAAAAAGCATAGTGCTTACAAAGTATTTAACTGCCTCCATGGCTGAATAGTGTCGGACTGCCACGTAGGTTCAATTCCCGGGCTGGGAGAAATATTTGTATGGCCTACAATTATTTCTCTCGTGAGTTTGGGCGTAATTTGTGATTGTCTATGTGTCCTGTGTCGCGTGTGCCATGGACACACATGGCACACGCGACACAGGATTTCCCTAGTGCGGGGCTATGTTGAGTGTGTACGTTATTATTATTAATATTATATCTATTTAAGACTCTCGCCTCTCCCAAGGCCTGAAAGATTAATTTTGAATTTATTATTATTTACATTTCACATATTTGCTTATAGTCTTTTTATATATTAATTTTACTATATATCATCATTTACTTAATATTATGTATTCGTATGTACCTACATTTCATATAATAAATTTATCCTTGTAATTATTTTGTTTCTAGTATTCAATTTCATAATTTATTAGATTTTATTACCGACTCAGGAGCCAACTTTGCTTTAAATTATTCAAAGGTTAGCTGGAAGAAATCCCTTTATGAGATAAGCTCGCTCGCCTTGTACATTTTATTTCTTTGCTAAATGTTTGTAATCTGTTTTGTTGTACAATGAAGTGTTATTTGATTTTTAATTCGGGACTTAATCACGTACCTATGAATCATATTTTAATAACCTCGACGTATCAGAATTGTGAAATTTTAAATCAAAGTACAATAAAGTGTTAGCATACATATATACACTTCTGAAAAATGTTCATTTTATATCACGTTCATATAGGGAAAAATCAATTTCGTTCGATTGTTTTTTGAAATTTGTTTTTTGTGTTTTGAATTTTTCTCTCTCGTGTTTCGTAATAAATACATAAGCGGACTATGACCTTATTTTACAGTAATAGAGTATATTTTATTTCTAAAACTCAAATGTTTAAATATCGTTTAACTGCCTCCGTGGCCGAACGGTTACCATACCGGACTGCCACGCAGAGGTCCCCGGGTTCGATTCCCGGGCCGGGAGAAATATTTGTATGGCCTACATTTATTTCTCTCGTGAGTTTGGGTGTAATTTGTGGTTGTCTATGTGTGTGTCCATGGCACCCGCGACACAGGGTTTCCCTAGTGTGGGGCTATGTTGAGTGTGTGCGTTATTATGTTATCGTGCAATGAACCTCACACGCGCCTACGCAACTACGATACCATTTCAGCTTAACAGTCTATACTACCTCGAATGGTTTTCAAAATGAATCTGACGACACCTCATATTATGTCAAAATACATCAAGCCGTTTAGGCTGTGCAGTGGGACATAGAAATAGACGTACATACATGCATAAACTCGAAAAACATAACCTTCCTTCTGAAGCAATCGGGTAAAACTACAGTGGAATTAAGAACCTCCTCGGTTAATAAAGATAATTTTTTGACTTCGTGTTCAGGGTTAATGAAATCTTAAATGCCATATTTATATATTTTTTACAAATTCAATTATAAGAAAAATGATGAAATTATTTCCACACATGTTGAACAACGAATGCTAAATAAATGGCTGTGTGGGAAATGTTCTGCTTTATTCTCAAAATAATGATACAACAGTTGTTTATTATGTATTGATAGGTAACAACACGTGTTCAACACGTAACGTAATGGTAATGCCAAGTGTATTTGCTAATTTTGTAAATATTACCATTACAGGTGGATGTATTTTGAACAGAAGAAAGATAACAAGCAAATCGAGGAGATGGAAGGAGTTGACCAAGATATATAGTGCATTGCATGTCTCGCAAGTATACGACTAGGCTAGAGTCAATTGTTAGTTTTTATTTTAATTAATAAAATCTCTATTGCGTTCAAATTAGTTTCCTTTTTTATAAGAACATTCTTTAAAAGGCATTTATCTAATTGACAGTTACTATTTTGATTGCGTCTTACACGTACAAACAATGAATAACAACTTACATTTGAATAAAATATGTATACATACATACACGACGCAAGAATCGTTAAAACAATATTATGTCTCAGGATGATCCCAAGCATCGAGTTGTTTGATTTTAATATCGGTCGTGGTATGTTTATTTTCGATTCCTCACCGTGTTTGTAGACGCATTAAGGACTGATATGGCAACATAAGAGTGTTTGCTTACATAAAGCTGAACAATAGTCCGCTGACTACGCCGCGGCGACGACGGCTCTGCCGTAATTCTATATTGGATTCGCTATTTACTCGAGACGCGAAACCAAGTAGGCATACGACCTACACTCAAGTACATTAAGTACTCGTTTCATGAGTTAAAATGATAATTTTAATAATACACGATAATCTGATAACGGTATAAAAAGGTAACGTTTTAATAAGTGATATAAAAATGGACATCGAAACAAAAATGGAGAAGGATAAAGAAAACAAGATGGTATCGGAAAATACAGAAGAGTTACCATTGAAAATGGAAGCAAATATTGATATGAAAAATATGAACATAACGGAAAAAATTAAATACTTCAAATCAAATGTGACAGTGGAACCTGTTTTGGCTTTTTTTGTCATGCCCAGTGTACTCGCGATGTTAGCGACACAGAATTTGAATTTGGATAAAGCGTGTCGCGTAAATTTAGGATTTGATGATAAAGTGTGCAGAGATTTAAGACTTAGAAAGAGAGACAATCACACATTTGAAGAAGATGAAGTCCAAAAACTGATAGCATCAGTTAACATGTGGAAAAGCGTGATTCACACAATTGTGCCAACAATTTTAATGTTGTTCATTGGAGCATGGAGCGACAAGACTGGTAGAAGGAAAATTTGTATGCTCATGCCTATAATTGGAGAAATGTCAACTTGTATACTGAACATGATAAATACGTATTTCTTTTATGAAGTTAATGTGGAGTGGACTGTTTTTATGGAAGTGATCTCACCATCGCTAACGGGAGGGTGGTACACAATGTTTCTAGGTACATTTAGTTACTTAGGCGACATAACTTCGAGGGAAATGAGAACTTTTCGTATGGGGATTTTAAATTTGTGTATGACAGTCGGATTTCCTATAGGGATGGGTCTGAGTGGGGTGTTGCTAAAGTGTTTAGGGTACTATGGCGTCTTTGCCGTATCTTTGTCATTCCATATCCTCAATTTATGTTATGTGATATACATTATTGAAGACCACAGATGGCTCGAGAATAAAGACAATGAAAAGGTTTGTATACATTAGTTATTTTCTTATTAGTACAATGGTTGATTATTATAAACAGAGATCAATGAGACCATCTTTGTTATTCATATCTCTGTGCTGGTGTTGATAGTATGAAAACATTTTGTGTGTATAAATGAATAAACTTCAACTTTTTTAGTTTATGAACAGAATTCAACTGCCTCCGTGGCCAAGCGGTTCCCATACTGATCTGCCACGTAGAGGTCCCGGGTTCGATTCCCGGGCCGGGAGAAATATTTGTATGGCCTATATTTATTTCTCTCTTGAGTTTGGGTGTAATTAATGGTTGTCTATGTGTGTGTCCATGGCACCTGCGACACAGGGTTTCCATAGTGAGCTATGAAAAGAAAGACTTATAAAGTAGCGTTGTAGAAGATACATTGACTAAAACTTGTAAAAACTATCTCAAATTTTGTTGATTGAGAGCCTATTTAGGTAAATTCAGTAAATATTATGGCCAAGTGTGTGTCTGTTATGTGTATTATATATAACAGGCACACGCTTGGCCACAAACTCACCTGATGTTGATCGATGATGTGAACGATGATGGTCTAACAAAATAACCTAATAAGTTCTCATAATAAAGCTTTTATTTTCTTGGAAGTACAAAATGATTTGTTTCCAGTTTAATTACGATAAAAAACTTTTTTATGGGAACTGAAGACCTCAGTCGGCGCTCAACCAACGGAAGTCTTTTTCGAGTGAAAACATAGAAGAATGCATTTATAGAAAAATGTGTTTAAAGTGTTATATCCGAGTAATAATATTCATACATATTAATTCAATCATTGACACCATATGTTATACAATGTTTTATTTAATGTACATTTATATTCATGTGGAATCCGTTGTGACAATGCAAGGTTAAACAAATTGAGAGAAGAACTTAAGATGATTACTTATATTACAATAATAATGTACACTCAACTATAATTTATACATTTTGCGTACAGAATTGTTTGTAAAATACCTACAACCTCGCAGGCCTATATTACTAACATCATAAACAACAATTTTTGTTAAAAACCGAAAACAAAGATCTGCTACTATGCTACTAATGCTAAGTCCGCTAGTTCGTTTCGCGACGTAGTTGGCACGGTTTGCTGGAAGACGTTGGTTCGAATCCAGCCGGATCGAAGGTATTTTTTCCAAGTTTTCGATCTTTCTCTAATTATAACAAAGTAGTGGAGTAATTTCCATAAATATCATGTTTTTTTTTACAATTTCAAGCGACGGGACGAACGATAGTAAGCTACACGCCTGTCCATGACAGTTGCAGTGACACTCAGAGTTTTAAATCGCAAAGATCTGAGGGGCACTGCCACTACGCCCGTCACCCTGAGACAAGTTGACAAGTCCCATGTGCCTATAACTTCACCAGCGCCCTTATCCTTCAAAACTGGAACACAGTAATGCTGACATTACTGCTTGGCGGCAGAAATAGGTAAGGTGGCAGTACTTCCCTGGACGAACTCTACTACTATTAAAACATCATGGTCAAACATTCAATAACTGAAAAATAATGACTATTGTTTCATAACTTTTAATAAATCATCACATTTTATTTCGCCGGGTCTATGTAAGAATTCGTGTCGTTTCTACACACGAACTGTGTACACTGCTTAGGCGCCGGACAAGGAAAAAATCTTGTCTACCCCCGACACGACGCGCTCTGCCGCTATTGTATGAGGTGGGGTGCGGAGCCTTGTCAGTAAACGAACGTTTATGGGCGTGGACGGTTGTTGCTTCGTAGTCAACATGTTGAACAACATATTTGTTGCCGCAGTCGATAGTAAAACGACTGTTATTTGGAAGACTCGTAATGCACTGACACATTTTATCGTACAAACGTCTGTTCGAAACCTTTCGTATCCTGTACATACTCATAATTTTCTCGTCTGCAACAGACAACATATTAACTAAAAATAACGGTTAACTCACGTATTTAAGTCGAATTTTTGCTCGACATGTTTCGAACCAATTCGTGATCCTTAATCATGAGATTCCGCGGCGCGGCGGTGACTCGACGGAAACTGCACACGACGCACTGAGACACAACATGCTTTCGTGGCTAGATTCGACAAAGTTGTTGTCGTGTACAAGACCATTCTCATCTTTTCTATAGCAGATACGTCGAATTTCTTAGCGTGTACACGCGCCCTTAGATGCTACAACAACAAAAATTGTACTTTATGATCTTAGTAATATAGTCCTGCCAGTTGTTAAATTTTATATAACCCTGTAATAAAATTTAACTCTTAACACAAAATTATTACATATTATGTAATCCAAATTATAACAACAACAACAACAACAACGAACGAGGTAATAGCAACATTTTCAGTTTTTTTTTTATATTTTAAATATGTGTTCTTAAAGTCTATAAATACATAGGTACTCGAATTTGTCTGTGAAAATTATTGTACAGAATCATAGCATTTTTTAAATTAGTATTTGTTTTAAATGTTAAAAAAAACATTTAAATATTTATCGACTCTGGAAAGGTAAAATGTCTAACTAGCATGTGGCAAGAAGATAAAAAATCATAACTCTGGTTTTAGAAAACTAGAAAGTTTTCTAAAATCTTTCCATATAACAGATAGAATCAGAGTTAGGGCGCGTTCCTATTATGTCGTGACGACAGATAGTCGTGCAATTTAAAGTATCGTGACTTGTATATTCAAATGAAGTTGTTCATATATAGAACAACACGATTAAATGTCGTTCACGACTTTTTGATGTTACGACAACAGACTGTCGTAATAATGGGAAGAGGTAGAACAACAGTCCTTCGACGATAAATTACGATTAAAATGTGACGATATATAATCGCAGCTTTAAATGATTCTGTCGTCCAAACAACAAGGCCGCTGTCGTGAACCGATAAATTGTCGTCACGATCTAGTAGGAGCAGCCATCATTCAACGATAAAATAAACGTCCACGACACAGTCACGACAGATGATTGTTATATGGGAACAGGCTAGACGTGACAGTTGTCCAACATAACGGCAACGCGCCCTTGTCATTATTACTTTAAATCGCTCTCCTGTAATATTTGGCAAATGCACATTAGATATTTTACCTTTCCAGGGTTGTGCATTTTTCATTGTTGTGGAGATGTATGTATGATTTAATATGACCACGTTGTAAGCAAAATTATGGATGTTAAACTAAAGTAAATACAGAAGCTTTTACTCGTAAACTTCAGGAAAGAAAACGCTCAGGCTGTGCAGGTCATCTATTAGAGTTCTTTGACTTCAAAAGCCTTCGAAAAACCATGGAGATAGTGTTCAAGAAAGGCGAGAAAAATCGAAAGTTAAGAATATGTCTCATTTTGACTGTGGTCTGTTTAAATTTTGGACCAATGTGGGGTAAGTAACGTATGAATATTTTTTTTAGGTTAGGAATATTTGACTAAGCCTGTGTTGTGAAGTTTCTTTTTTATAATACCAAGTGACGGGACGCCTGGTGGTAAACACGCCTGTGACGGTGTGACCTTGCATCATTTTAATCGCCTTTTTCCGGTTCCTGGCCACTCGTATTTAAATTTAAATTATGAATTGTTCCATTCTTTTGCCTCACATTCTGATTTTGCTTTGTTCCATCGTCACTCCCTGCCCGATCGCGGCAGCAAACACGTCTTCTTTTCTTATTTTTTTGAGCCGTTTACCAGTTACCAAAAAGTCTCTTGTACGATAAACATTTTAAAGATCATAAATATTGTTAAAACTGGAATAAATATTTATTAAACTGGATTTATTACCACTAGGTCTTTACCCTTTTAAACTTTGAACTTGTACTAAGTAAGAGGCTGCGGAGGCTGCGGAGGCTACTATACTACAATCCCGACAACATTATAATCAACAGAACTCCACCTGCACCAGTAGCGCTCTCACACGCCTATCCATAATAGTTGCAGTGCCACTCAGAGCTTTAAATCGCAAAGATCTGAGGGGCACTGCCACTGCGCCCGTCACCCTGAGACATAAGTTGACAAGTAATAAACCGGAACGTAGTAACGCTCGCATTATTACTGCCTGGCGGCAGAAACAGATAATGTATCAGTACTTCCCTGGACGAACTCTTTCACAAGGAGCTCTACTGCTACTAATGGATAATAATAATGAAGAAAAAATGTGAGCAATGTAAGGAAATATCTTTCAAAGAAGTGGTAAGGATATTTCGCCTTGTGATTCACGCTCTCTTCAATGTTTTAAATAGTTTTATTTTCCTCTCTGTACTAATAATAGATATTGTATGACGAAACTTCTAACATTGGTAAATCCAAGTTGTACAGGTAAATAAACCATCAGAAATTCCCAAACCAATGGCTATTGTTAAATAAAATTATAAGCCGATAAGAACATAACAACTACATGTAAAATGCATGACGTGCGATGTCTAGTGATGTTGTCATTAAATTTTTTATAGGAAAATATAAAAGTCTTGTGCATGTACATACCATCATCTTTCCAAAATGTAATCTTTCTAAAATGTACTCATTATTCTCCTAACAAGTCTCCCTCGCCTCCTTCACTAGCATTGGTCTCTTCATATATTATGCTTGTTTATTCTATATTGTGTTTATTTTATTCTTGTATACCATTATCCTACACAGCCAGGCTCTTGTCGGTGTAACCTCCTCCACTCCTCACGGTTCATACCCAGCTTCTAGACTGCTCATTTTGATATTCTTCTTTATCTGTTCACTATTACGTCGTTCTAGGCCTTCCTCTCCCTCTTTTCTCTTCTGTCTTCCCCTCAATTACAATTTTTACCAATTTTCACAAATTATTAACAAATATTCAAACAATTTCCTCCTTCTGTTCTGTATTGTATTCAAAAGATTGTGTTAACTAGCGTGTGTTTTCTATAAAATATAAAACTTACGTGAAGTAATTATTTTGAGGAATAAAAAATTACTGAAATTAATGATTGTTGTGAAATCAGAAACATAAAATATTTACAAGCGTTCAGAAATCTGTAGTAAAAAGGGCGATTTCTATTTGAGACGTCACACATTAGTGACTAAGCCAAATTCTATGGGCCGTTTCACTAAGGATACCTTTTTCTTCTATTGCCTTTAACCATTAATATTTATATATTATATCGAAAAACTAATTGCAGATCCACTTTCCGTGTATTCATGCGAATTGATGAAAAAAACTAGAAGTCCTATTGCCATTTCATATTAGGTCGGTACTCTATTGGTCTTTTTTAACCAATTCATAAAACTGGATTTAAAGTACGAGTATTTTGTTAACATATTGTGATACGGGAAGAATGTGTTCTCTCTAAAATAAGTGCATAAACAGATATGAAGATTCAAGAGCCAAGAGCTCGAAGATAAAATTTATCGCTTCTCCGAACTGTAAATTTTCTCTTGAAAATTACATCACTACGTGCTATATCTACACGTGCGAGCTTCAGTGTATAAGATTATAGTCGTCGCGCACACAAATGTCAAATGAAAACGACTGTTTAGTTCAATTGCATGACGGTCATATTCTATTACACTTTAAGGCTCTGTTTATACTGCGCAACGGAATGGAAGTGAGTTTTTGGTAGATTAGAAAGATACAACTTCCGTTTGTTTTCAGTAATAGTAGAGCTCCTTGTGAAGGAGTTTGTGTAGGGAAGTACTACCACCTTACCTATTTCTGCCGTGAAGCAGTAATGTGAGCAATACTGTGTTCCGGATTTGAGGGGTAAGGGTGCTGATCAAAGTACAGTCATGTCTTGCACAGGCGTGTCGCTTACCACCAGGCATACGACTTGTTCGTCCTGCCGCTTGATATCATCAAAAACAGATACGAGACAAAAAAACAGCTACGAGACAAATTCCCGCAACTGATGTCGTATCGTATCTAGCCCTGTACTCTCGTAATTGTTTCGGACGGAAGTTGAATGGAGACGTCCGACTTCTGTCCGAAACAATTATTACTGTCAAGTAAGTACTATTCGACCAAATTAAAGGGGTTACCTATCAGTAGACCGAAATGACATTTTCCAGAAATAACGTTTGGTCGAAATTTCATAAGCTCGAAAGTAATTTTGAGAGAAAAATGTTTTATCTTTTAAACCTAACTTAACCTAACCTAAACGAAACTAATCGTGTCTTTACGCTAAACATTCAACATATCCTGAAAGAACAACTGTTTTGTGATAGGTTACCAATTAATGTGTCTTACATGATGCGAATGAAGCTTCTACTTGTTATTCTTGTCTTGTGTCTTTTAATTTGTCGAGTGTTACTTATTTGGTAGTAATTGTTTCGGACGGATGTAGGACGGAAAACGAGAGTTGATCCCCTAGTTTGTACGTTACACAATAGTTATAAAGTTGCTAATAAAAATATTGCTATAATTGATGTTTCATAGTGTAAAAAATAGTGATGTACGGACAACGGCACACCAGACTACACATTTTTCACAACGGAACAAGATACGTCAATGTGTAGGTTGATGTGCTGGCGTGTGTACTATGTCGGTTGAGATAGTAAGTGGAGTCGCTTATGTTATGATTTTTTGATATTGCCGTCATAGTTTAAAATATCATTTGCAACAAAAAAACGTTGTTTAGGTAAAAATGCCGCTTACGATAAATCGGTGGCTGTGGCTCGATTTGAGCAGACATAATATTGTTCTATCAAATTTATATATTTTTATCTTTACAGTTTTAAAATTTACCATCTTCAACTTAAAATAACAACCACAGGAAAAAATAAATTGGTATAAAATCATCATGACTGTATAAATGCGCTTTTGCGTCAACACAATTATATAATTTTGTAGTATTATAAAAACAGCTGTATAACATGAAAATGATGAATATTGATTTCATCGTCAATAATGGTACAAAAAACGTAGCGGCAAAAGTAAGTGATAGTACGACAATAAAAAAAAAATGCAGTTTTCTATTAATACATAGAGAAATCTTTACCTTCGTTGGAGATTTTCTCTTTAAAAATCCACGATGGCGGTCGTGAGCGTGTCGTGCATATTTTGACCTTGTCTTGTTCTCCGCTTCCGGCAAATATATTTTTAAATTAAAGGTTAAACAAATCGTTACTAATCGCAATACTTTTTGCGATACCGCTCACCGTCAAACATTATCACAATGTTGCTATTTACGATAGTCGACATCGGTGTTTTTGCATGTCTAATATGTAGCAGTAGGTATTTGCGAGACTCTTGCAACAAACCAAGACCAGATATACTGATGCAAGACTAAAACCAAGACATGTTAGTCTCGCCTTGGTCTTGCATTTGGGCAACACTATTTGAGTTGGCACTCAAGAAAATAACACACAACTATATTTTCAAATGACCAAGCAAATCATGTACAGGCAAAAAAGATCTATTCACCCCATCACTAGCTCGGAAAGGCTATCTTTCTCATTAGAAAATTGCGCGCAAAAGCATTTTTCCACGTTAGCGTAGAAAAAAATTGTTGAAAAAGAAGTTGAAATTAGAACTTGACGATGGACTGTGGTGCACCTAACTTTTCTTTGATGAAAAAAAAGCAATGACACGTTCATCTACGCGATTTGTCGTATATTATATAAGTAATACGAGTATTTGTACAGTATTTAAATAGTACCATAAAACATGTAAAGACTTTAAGCGTCTATTTTATTTTAAATAAATAACATTGTGGCATATGAAATAAATTATTCTATTCTATTCTAGCTGCTAATATGACGTTGAATATGACACATTTACTGTTCAATGTATCAAGGTTGACATAACAAAGCCGGCAAACATCGAACATATGTGAGAAAAACATCCGCTTATTGCTTATACCTATGCAATACCTTTGTAATACAATGATTATACGGTGTATTTTTAATTACCCCGAAATTTGACAACAATGTTTGATATAACTCTCGGTCTATGGGGAATGGAAGTGTCATCTTTTTTGTACTAGGTAGTAGTCAAATTGTAAACAAAAAACAGGGCATCTAATTAGCCATACTGCTAGGTATTTAGTTTCTGACATTTTTCGCAGGGAATGGTTATGTATTGCTCCGAAAAAAGCAGAAATACATGTTCACTGTTCGGCCGTCTTAATTTTTTTTTTTTATAAATTATTGCTGGCTATGGAAACAAAGTCCTTCAGCCGAAAACATAAACGATTAGTTATATTTCTGTAAATATGGCCACCACAAAGAGGATAGGCAATTTGAGGCGGCGTGCTTGGATTGACTCGGGATTCCTTAGAACGGACCGATACGGGTATTTTAGTTCGAGATTCGTATAATTTCGCGTTTTAATCTTCGATTAAGGCACAATAGCACTATCATGTTCCACTTTAAACTAGATTTCACAAAATAATTGAAAGTCAAAATAAAAACGACACTTTTCCCTCCAAAAGGCC